CTACTGGTGCACACCGAACAGCCAAAGTCAAGAAACAAGTGTAAATCGGTATTACCGCCACTTACAATACCGTTCGACGTGACTGCCGAATTCGTTACGAGTCGAACCCGCAACGAACTTTATGTGTTCTAACCTCTTTACCGCGTTAATTTCTGAAAGAATATGTTTTACAGCGTAAAATTTGAAGCGCTGGTTGCTGGGATAATCGAAGTGTCAATGATGAAGTCCTGAATAGGCTTTGAAAACTGCATCCACTTCCTGCCTTTCCCGCTGCGTGCTCCTTCTTTAACTCTTTTGTCTTTCGTTGAGGATACTACCAAGTTGATTTCGGCTTATGAGTGTCTCAAGTAATGAATTCCCCCATATGTTATTTTTCTGAGTTGCCTGTGCTTAAGTTTTCCAAGTCTGTGTATATCTATAGGTGTCGTCATATCCAAATTGGCATGAGATTTTTTGCGAGCCCTTTTCTGGAGGAACTCCAACGGTTTTGGCTCTATGCCACTGTGTATTTAAAAAACAGCCGGAGGCTATCCGACTTACTTCCGTAGAGGTGTCTTAAACTTTTAATTTAGTTTTGTGCATCATGTGATATCAGTGACATTTTGTTGACTGATGTTCATTCTTTTTCTCTACCAAATTTCTCAAATTTTGGTTCACTTTCTGCTGAGATATTGCCGGATATGTCCGAGAACTTTAATTTTTAAATATTACTTCGAGACATATTAACTGTTATAATTTTGTTCGTATCCATAGAAATTTCTTATTTTCTTGTTGTTGTAAGGGATGGGTATCGTAGATAATAAGTATCAGAAAAAGTCGGGTTTGCCGAGCAGTAATGTAGAAAAAACGGTTTTAATGAAATAACTAAGAAAACGCGTTCTTTTAATGAATGAGAAAAGCTTAAAGAAAGTTGCTGTAGGAGTATTTTTTTGGGGAAGGGAAAGGAAAAAAAGGAAGAAAAGGGGACACAGTTGTTATGCAGGTTTTTTATATCGAAATTCTAATACAACAATGGCCTAATACTAACCAGTTTTCTAAAAATAATCTTATTTTTTAGGGTGGAACTACTCACCGTGGTACTGTAGTAAAGTTGCATTATGAATATATAGTATATAGTATATTACATATTATACATTATTATACATAATATATAACATATAATGTATAATATATAATATATAATATATAATATATGATATATGATATATAATATATAATATATAATATATAATATATAATATATATAGTATATAATATATAACATATAATATATAATATATAATATATAATATATAATATATAGTAATATATAGTATATAATATATAACATATAATATATAATATATAATATATAATATATAATGTATAATATATAATATATGATATGTAACATATAATATATAACGTATAATATATAATATATTTTTTTGCTACAGAACTACCGTTTTCTTCACGATGTAATCGCTCTGCTGTTGGAGTAGGAAAAGAATTCTTTGATCAATTCGTTTCAACGTTGGAACCTTTTTTTTCCTCTCTCTCTTTTTTTCTGTATTTTAGTTTGCTGCCAGAATTCTATGATAACACAAAAACCTTCAAAGTTTTATTTGAATAAAATGATTCACAGTAAATAACAGAGCGATATAACAGAAAAAATGAGTTAAAAATTTGGAAAAAATTTTTCTTGTTCAACTGAGGTTTGAGCCTAAATTGCAATTTCTTCTGTAATTTTCTTCAGCCTTTAGAAAGCAGAAACTGCAAAACAAAAAACAAAAAAAAAAAAAAAAA